ACGTTCGACGCGGGCGCCAAGGTGGCCGTGTTCACGTGGCACGGCTGTACCGTGCAGCTCAGCGGCCGCACCGAGGTGGCCTACGTGTCGCGGGACACGCCGATGCTGCTGTACCTGAACACGCACACGGCGCTGGAGCAGATGCGGCGCCAGGCCGAGCGGGAGGACGAGCGCGGGCCCCGCGTCATGGTGGTGGGACCCACCGACGTGGGCAAGACCACCGTGTGCCGCCTACTGCTCAACTACGCCGTTCGCTTGGGCCGCCGGCCCACATTCGTGGAGCTGGACGTGGGGCAGGGCTCGGTGTCCATCCCCGGCACCATGGGCGCGCTGTACATCGAGCGCCCGGCCGACGTGGAGGAGGGCTTCTCCCTGCAGGCCCCCCTCGTTTACCACTTCGGCTCCACCACGCCCGGCACCAACATCAAGCTCTACAACAAGGTGAGCACGGGGGGCTCGCCCCGGGTTGGATCTGGCCCCAGAGTAACCGCAGGCGGTTTCTGAATCCCCGGGGTGCTCCCGCTGCTGCTGTTTGGAGGCAGCACAACACGTTTTAAAAGCAGCTGCAGCCTCGTGCACCCCTTCCCAGCTATGGGATCAGGGTGGGAAGGGAGCCCCGAGGAGGACATGAAGTCGATTAAGGGAACTGGAGCACCTCCCCTACAGAGACAGGCTGGGAGAGGTGAGGCAGTTCAGACTGGAGGAGGAAAGTTTGTGCGGTGACCTCAGAGCAGCCTTTTCCCTCCTAAGGGGCTACAGGGAAACTGGAGAGGGATTCTTGTCAGGATCTGGAGCGATAGGATGGGGTGGAATGGGTTCACAGAGTCAGGTGACAGGAGAAATTTAGGCTGGATATTGGGAGGAAATTACTTTACTGTGAGGACGTTGGGGCCCTTCAGGGTTGCCTAGAGAGACTATGGATGCCCCATCCCTGGAAGTGTCCAAGGCCAGGTTGGATGGGGTTTGGAGGAGCCTGGGCTGGTGGAAGGCGTCCCTGGCGTAGGGAACTGGATGGTGTTCAAGGTGTATTCCAACCCAGGCCACTCTACAATTCCATGATTTTGCCCTGGGTGGCCACCCAGAATTGAGGCCTTGAGGGTTCTGGAGGAGCTGGGGACACGGCTGGGGAGAGCGTGGGGACACTGGTGCCTCTGTGTGACCCCTCCTCCCGCAGATCACATCGTGCCTGGCCGACGTCTTCAACCAGCGCTGCGAGGTGAACCGGCGGGCGTCGGTGAGCGGCTGCGTCATCAACACCTGCGGCTGGGTCAAGAGCTCGGGCTACCAGGCGCTGGTGCACGCCGCCTCCGCCTTTGAGGTGGACGTGGTGGTGGTGCTGGACCAGGAGCGCCTCTACAACGAGCTCAAGCGGGACCTGCCCCACTTTGTGCGCACCGTGCTGCTGCCCAAGTCCGGCGGCGTGGTGGAGCGCTCCAAAGACTTCCGCCGGGAATGCCGGGACGAGCGCATCCGCGAGTACTTCTACGGCTTCCGCGGATGCTTCTACCCCCACGCCTTCGACGTCAAGTTCTCTGACGTCAAGATCTACAAGGTGGGCGCGCCCACCATCCCGGACTCGTGCCTGCCGCTGGGAATGTCACAGGAGGACAACCAGCTGAAGCTGGTGCCGGTGACACCGGGGCGGGACATGGTGCACCACTTGCTGAGCGTCAGCACCGCCGACAGCCCCGACGACAACATCTCCGAGACCAGCGTAGCCGGCTTCATCGTGGTCACCGGTGTGGACCTGGAGCGCCAGGTCTTCACCGTGCTGTCCCCGGCTCCACGCCCCCTCCCCAAGAACTTCCTGCTCATCATGGACATTCGCTTCATGGACCTCAAGTAGGGGAAGGGCGGGATGTGCCCCCCACTTCCTCCTCCTCCTCCCTGTGCCCCCTTCCTTGTCTCCCCAGCGAGGTGCAGCACCCGCATTTCGGTTTTATACTTTTTGTACAGTTTGCTATTAAATCTGGAAGCTTTTGCCGCTGGTGAGCGTCTGCTCGGGGAGGGGGGGATCCCCGAGGGGAGCGGGGATTGCCGGGCCCGGGCTCCCCCCGTGCCCGGGCT